CATATAAAGAGAGAGAGAGAGAGTGATGGTGTTCAGCAAACCGTGATGTTCGGGAACAGACCTTATTATTCTGTATCACTTACTTTGAGCCGTCATTGTTGGTTGCGTACATCTGAAGGCACATAAACACACAGAGACAGACACACTTACATGCTTCGAGGTTGACCTATGACTTGAACCGACCAACTTATTTTATAGAATCATTAAAGAGCTTGCATATATACATATTTACAACATATGTATTTGCGTTAGTTGGGGATGAGCAGGTGAATCTTCTTGGCTCGTTAGCTTGAATAAGGTTGTAATAATGATACCCTGCTCTGATGATGTCCTTCATACGACAAACGAATGTTAATACTTTTTTATCGGAATTAAACGAGGTCAAATTGGAAATTGTGTCAAAAAGAATTTTTTAGAAAAGCCTATTACCGTCGTCTTCTGTTGGGATCGATCTTCGAATCTCTTCACCAAACACTTTCACTCGAAATGGCAGTGAGCTCTGCGATTAAGAACTTTTACCTTGTCTTTACGATCGACTACGCTACTCATATTGATAGAAAGTAGGGTTCTGTGCAACCGGCCAAATAAGATCCCTCCTGGCTGGAGATACCTTTTGGGAAGCAAGACTGAGTAAACCTTACTGGAAACGTGAGCTACACTCACATCGTTATGGCAAAATTTATCTCTCACTCCTGCATCATTTTATGTGGCCTTTTGGGATTTTCTACTCTCAAAAACGAATGATCCGGAGGCAAACGAGACTTTGTGAACTGGAAACAAGTGCAAAGCATCAAATTTAAAAGTGAAAAGCAGTCTTCATGCCTTCTTGGCAGTAGCATGAGTGCAGACAAGCGGAGCTGCAATGAGATTGTGGAGATCTTTTGCAAAATATGTGTCCGAGTTGGGCTATTTCGTATAGAACTTAGCATACTCATTGTCCTCCAACTATCTTGCGTGAAGGAGAAAACGATCTCCAATGCGTAATCCGCAAAGAGATTGTGTAACTTTGGTGTTTAGAGACGTCTGTTCTATTTGTACAATATGACATGGAATAAATGAGAACCATGCGGGCTCTTGGGCAGTAGCTGTGGCGTCAGAGTTGAGTGAAGTATAAAGACTAAAAGGTGGCATATTTAAATTGTGCTTCTATTATTCTAGCGCCGATTTCAAGAGCAGTTCTTCTACCTGGCACCATTTCCAGGCTTCATCAGACTTTTCAAGATCCACGGTTGGGCTGGATAAATAAAAGGGCATTTTTCAATAGTGTTCCGATTGCTCACATAAATCCTCAGGTCTGTTGACTTTAAGCATAGTTACAGCAGGTCTCAGTTTTTTGTTGATCGGCGTCTTCCGAAAGTCCATCTTTTAGGAGGCAAATTTGTGTGCAAATGAGTCAGGGAAGTCAACAAATGGTCTCTAAATCATCTTAAGCAACCTAAGGTGACTAAATGCATATTCAATAATAAGTTTTAATCCCAAAAAATGGTATATCAAAACAGGAAAAATCAGTATTTTGTAGCATAAATTGTAAAAATAGAGAGAAGAAAAGAGTGGGGCCAAATAGCCAGCAAAGGAGAGGCTGACAAAAAGTGAAAAAGAGGTTCGGCCGTCAAGCAAAAAGTATCATTTTTCCTTCGTAAGTAGGTTTACAAGACTACCAAATACATCTAATTTAAGAGATGTATTCACTCTATTTAGTTTAATTTTCCCACAATCATGTTAGTGGGCTTTACGTTTCAATTGAATTTCGCATAGCCTTGCTTCTCAAAAGGTCTTCTCAACCAGTCTGCACCGCAGTTCTGGCCTCGGCGAAACTGGTTTCGTCAGCACCCCCCGCCAGACTCGAACCCAGTTTGCGGCAGTTCAGCATGTCATCTTGACACATCAACCACTACGTCACACCGTCGATGCAAATCTCATGCATACCATATTCTGTGCTGGGATTGTCGACCATGCAATGCTGTATTTGCCATAGTTGTCGACCTGATTATACACGAAAAATAGACATTGTAGTCGATTGCTATAGCAATACAACTATATTTAATCGACAGCCCCACCACAGAAGGTAGTATGTGAAAATGCCGTGGTAGTGTGTGACGTGGTGATAAATGTGTTCATATCCTCCTGCTTGGATGATAATACCTTTTGGGAAGCAAGGTTATGTGAAATTCATTGGAAACGTAAGGCCTACTCATAGGAGGGAGGGAGGCAGGGGGGGAATTTTACTAGCTGTCCCTTAACAACGAAAGAAAGTGAATACATTTCATATACACGATGCATTGATAGTCTATACAACCAACTTTTTTAACGAAAACGTTACAAACGGGTGAAATGGATTCGTAAATTGGCCTCATCACACACCGAAGGAGGGTTGCCTTGGGGTTCTAATGGTTGGATTGTGCGAAGAAGACCTCGGCTCATGGTCCTGTTACCCCGAGCAATTCGTCATGTCACGGACCTCGGTTTATGGGTTTAGTGTATTTTGGGTATTGCTCGTAAATGATGCTCCTGACGCGTGGAGGGACGAAAGGTCAGCATGGATGGTTCTGGTTGGCAAGACGATGGGCCGAGGTCTTCTTCGCGCCAACCAACAGTCACAAGGCCAAGGCCAAGGCCAGCTCCCTTCGGTATCGGATGCGACCAATGTATGCATCCCTTCCATACGCCGTCTCGAATGAAGTAAAAGACATGCCAACCTCCATGCACAATGTCACGCTTCAGAGACCACATCTGCAAGCTGTTCCCTTTGAGGCATGACATTTAGACTCATTCGCATCTCTCTCTTTCAGCACCGGAGCCACCTTCTACACCCTCTATTGGGCCCTCTTCGGTCAGTCCTCGAACAACGCCACCATCATCGAGGAGAACCTGGCCGACCAGTATCCGGGACACCAAAATCTGAGTGTCAAGAACAGCCCAATAATGATCACGAACCTGGGCAGCATTCTATATGCAATATACAACGCCTGCATGATCATCATCCTTCTGAACATGTTGATTGCGATGATGAGCAAGTCGT